CCCCTTGGGGAATTCGACTCTGGTCCAGCCGGGCGGCGTTTCCATGGTGACCTTGGCCTGCCGTTTGGCGTTCCCGATAAAATGGCGCAAGCTCTGCGCCGCGCACGGTTCTTTTGATGCCAACGGCCTTTCCTGTGGGGGGGGGGAAAGGACAAGAAAGAGACGCACGTCCCACACAATCCTTCTCCGTTGCCTGAGGGCTGTGTGTACAACTGCAGGCCTACTCCCTCTCCCCCCGTGATAAGGCTCTGGGGCACGCGTTCGTGCTGTTGGATTGATGAACCGTCACGCCCTGCGCCTAACATTTCAGATATAGCCGCGCAAACTCAGCAGTTTTCCATTGCCTTACGTCGGAGAGAAGCAGTTTTCAAGAGCCTTCCAGCTTCTGATTTCCTGGAGGACTGGGATTCCAGTTGCCGGAGAAAACCTCATGGTTTTTATCGTCTTTTTTTATCGTCTGTCGGGGGGGCCTGAATCGTTCCCACCCTCTCATCTCCGAAGCAGTTGCTCCTGTTGAAGCAGGTCATGAAGGCTGGGCTAAGACGCTATGTTTGGTGGGGGAAATACTGGATGTCCGCCCATATCAAGGAAATAGGAGTGCTCTTGTTGGGAATTGTGTAGGCATCCACCTCTGAGTGGATCTGAAAGGACTTAAGATTCATTCTGCCATTTTGAAAGAGAAAGATTATATTTTTCAGGTGATGTGGAATAAATAATTTAGAAATCATAATATATTTATAAATAAATGCATAATATACAGTATTATTATATATTGTATATAATGTATAATAATGCTTTTGAATAAGGATGTAAGAAGGCTTGTACTATTTAGATCTAAAATACCAGGTAGGAAGGATTTTCAGTAGTATTAACTAAGTAACTTTTATCTCTGTCAGTATGATTAACTGGCAATGTCTGTATACAGAGATATGTGATGTCTTATCACTGGCGATGAAATTTAAAGTGTCATTATAGCATATCTAGGCCTTTTCAGATGCATAGCAATATAGTGGGTTTCATTGGCAAGATACAAGAACTTAAAAACAATTACAAACAAGAGAAGGCCATTCAACCCATCTCATTCTTTTGTCTATTTCTAACATCTTGAAAGTAGGCAAGGTCTTTGATTCAGTGTAACAAAGTGTTCCTGCCCTCAATTTCAAAAGGTGGTTTGTCGGCACCTTTGAGGATTTTGAAGATCAGGAATATCTGATATGTCGGGTCCCCTCATAGTGTTCTTTGTTCAAAATTTTAGCCTTTTAAATCAAGTCCAAGACATTGAAGTTAAAACAACGTTTGGTTAATTCGGTTATGCAATACTACAGTTAGCCACTAGGCGGAGCCACTGACCTTATATTTCACTAAAAGGAAAGCTGGGTGCAAATGTGCAGCGATTCTTGCTTGCAAATGCCTGAATCTCGAACTGCGGCAGATCGGATCCTCAAGACAACGTCTTGTTTCTTTCCTGACCCAAAAGTGACCATTTCTAAATGTGAGCCCCCAGAGTGGGGGAAAAAAACAGTTCCCAGCAAACTTTGCTGTCAGTTGGGCTGGTATTCGGTGTTTTTCTCTCCATCTTCGAAGACTGCTTAGCCTCACAAAAGTCGTGGTCAGAGGCCTAGTCAGCTAAAACACTTCAAGTCAAATGAGCTCTCCCCTTTCGTGAGTCTGTTGCATGCATTAATTCCGTAGAGTTGTGGCAATACCTCTGGGGAAAATCTTTTATAAGAGCTGTATTTTAATCCTCAACTTTGTGAAAACAGCCTGGGTTCTGTTCCGTGCCCCAACTGACCTTGGAGTGTTTTTATGAAAGCCGGTTTCTGGATACAGCAGAGAGCGTTTCTGCTGACGGCCATCTGTCTTGTCTGCGGTCTTTGCACAGGTGTCAAGAGATGAGCTGCTGTACAGTACAAAGGTCTCTACACCCGTGAGGTGGTTGTGCGCTCTTTTTCGATTGACACCTTAGCCTACCTGCCTGCGTATATTCAGTGAACGTGCCGGGACCCTGTCTGCCATTCACTGTACTAAACCAGTCCAGCCCCAGTCCGGATGTGAGTTTTAAACGACCTCAGCCAGCCCTGTGGGCGGGCGTCTTTTTACCAGGAGGTCTCGAAGAATTCTCGACGATAGCTACAGCACATTTGCATGAGTAGAATTCGCCGAACCGGTTATCTTTCTCGTTTCCTTGCCAAAGTTGATAAGGAGAGATAACTCGGTTCCCTGCAAGAGAGGCTCCAAGCACGCAGTTTCACTGCTTTATTTTTTTTTTCCCCCTGTACCAATGGAAAAGAAATGACTTGTATTTTTGGTTAGATTGCGCCCATTTGTAGGGGTTTCTAACATCTTATAGCTTGCTCAAGAATTTCTTTGATCGCGAGGGTGGTGTTTAAGCTGGGAGCAGGCAGGGGACAGAGTGAGGAATGATCTGCAAAACGGCTCTGAATTATTTACAGCGTATGGGGCTTCTGGAAAAAAGCTCAAAGTAATTAAGACCCCATCTCTTGTCTCGAAGGATTCTAGAGTCACAAGGGGGGAAATGCACTGAGAAATGGATTATTTCCCTTGTCTCCAGCTGACTCCATATCCATCTTCGTATCAGATGCCGGTAAGCTACCTGTATGTGTCAGGAAGGCACTCGTTTAGGAATGTAGAATCCCACAGCTTTGAGGTCACATATCCAGTGACCTAGCCCTGGATATGCTGCTCGGGGAAAAAAAAAAGCTTCTGTTTTTGTTTTATTTCAGAGCCTTATCTTGAAAGGCTGTAGGTTTCGTTGGAGTCGATCTGTTCAGCTGGTGCTTTCGTTTCGTCTCTGGCCGAAGAAAGAGGAAAGCACACACGTTAGGTTGCGATCTCCCGAAATAATCGTTTTAGGTAGCTTTGTGTTTTTAGGAGACGTTTTTTTTTTGCTCACTAGAAAACTTCATTAATTCAGAATTTCATTTGATCAGAAGGAATGCAAACTATGGGGGACTACAGAGGCTGGTTGCTCTATACCAAATAAAAAAAAAAGTTTGGCTTTTGACTTTTTCAATGCACTATTAACAGATTTAAAATACTGATATATCCAGTTTTGGAGCTGACTAAGATCAAGGCTTCTTAATTCAGTGGATGTTCTATGCCCCCTTTGACTAAGTGATTCTTAGTCATTCTTGGGATCAGAAGAGGACTGGAATTTGTTTGTGATTGCAGCATCAATGATAGTATGGTTGCCGTCACATCATCCAGGTGGATGCTGCACATTGGTGGTGTTGGAGGGAAAAACTAAGGTTGCTGCTGGAAGAGGTGTTAGTGGGGCCAGCAGGGGGCGCTCACCCTGCGGTCTATGTGGGTCCTAATGCCCCAGTATAGCGACAGGGACACTATACTGTAAAACAGGCGCCGTCCTTCGGATGAGACGTAAAACCGAGGTCCTGACTCTCTGTGGTCATTAAAAATCCCAGGACGTTTCTCGAAAAGAGTAGGGGTGTAACCCCGGCGTCCTGGCCAAATTTCCCATTGGCCCTTACCAATCATGGCCTCCTAATAATCCCCCTCTATGAATTGGCTCCATCACTCTGCTCTCCTCCCCACTGAGAGCTGGTGTGTGGGGAGCGTTCTGGCGCACTATGGCTGCCGTCGCATCATCCAGGTGGGGCTGCA